TCTTGCTCCCGGCTGTCTAGAAAGGAGATACTCACCTATAGTATCTTTGACCATGTCTGTTTACATCTAAAAACACGCACATACACAAGCACATAGACCTACACGCGCGAGCAAGATATACCAAGTCACTCACTCACTCTCACTCTTACTCTTATGTATAAAATTCGTAACGTCATTTCTATGATATTCTTAGATCGTTATCTTTTTGTCTCTCCGTCTCTGTGTCCCGGCTTGCGTCACCTTTTCGCCGTTGCGTCATTTATGGGGAAAAAAATACACGGGAAAGGGTTGAGTCACTCGGCGGCTGGAGACTGCAGGTGGATCCACACGGCATGCGGGGGTGGGGGTGGGGGTGAAGGGGTGTGGGGAAGTTAGGTGTGGGGAAGTTGGGTGTGGGGAAGTTGGGTGTGGGGAAGTTAGGTGGGGGGGTGAAGGGGTGTGGGGAAGTTAGGTGTGGGCGTAAGAGGGTAGGGTGGTTGTGACGTGAACGAGATGAGAGGGTTTGTTTGCAATGTTACTTAAGGTGGGTTGTTTGGTTAGTAGCGTTGCGTACGGTGGTGGTGGGGTGTTTATAGTGTTACTTAATGGGGTGAAATGTCTTGTGGTGTTACTTAAGGGGATTATCGGAGGAGATGGAGATAGAGTGGTTTATGATGCTATTTAGAAGGGAATGGTTGTAACGTTACTTAAGGAGGTTAAGATTTGTATCTGAGGCGACCCGTGACGCTACGTAAAAAAAAGGGTAGTCTACTTACTTACTTACTCTACTTACTCTATGTTACTTACTGGGGTAGAATAGATCGCGGTATTCCTTACGGAAGGAGGGTGGCCCCTGACATCACCCGGCGAGGCGAGGAAGATTGTTACATCACATAATGAGGTGGTGTCTTGTGACATCGTTTTCCGAGTGAGAAGATGCTGGGATGTCATATCATGAAATGAGTGTTATGTACCTTTTTTATTACTTTACGAGTGTTTTAGCGTCCTTATGTTGCTAGATTCGCTACAATTATTACATTAGTGGAATTTTATGAGGTTATGTTTAGAGTGATCTTTCTTTTGTTGCTTTATTTTGACTCTAATGGAAGCTATTTATGTTATATGTACGGTTACACCTCGATATGTGTGTGTGTGTGTGTGTGTGTGTGTGTGTGTGTATTTATGTGTGTGTGTGTTTATGTGTGTGAATGTAGTTATTCAGTCGATAAGTCTTCACTCATACAACACGTTACGTCACCACCTTACGTCACAAAACAGCTGATCGTCGCCGTTTCGCTGGGTCTTATCTGCCTCCCGAACGATAGACAGTTGTGGATTGACTCATTAGTCTAATAGATCGCCGAAAATAAGAAGATACGATACTTGTGTGATGTGACCTACAGTAACGGGGTCATCTCGTAACGCTGTGGAGTGACACTTGGAATATATAGGGTGAGAGAGGTGTCATTTGAGAGAGAGATATATAGGGTGATATGCGTTAGGGTGTCACTTGGGAGGAAGTAGAGTACTGGGGCATAAAATATAAATAAAACGGATGTGGTGGTCGTTTTTTTTCCTTCTCGCTCCGTTATGCCGGTTGTTTGGAAATGTTATGATTTATTCTGTCTATCTGGCTGTATTTTTTTCTCTCTCTTTATATTTCTTTCTTTCTTTCTTTCCTTCTTTTTCTTTCATTTGTTCATTTTATCTTTCTCTTTCTTTCCTTCCTTCCTTAATTCATTCTCTCTCTCTCTCTCTCTCTCTCTCTCTCTCTCTCTCTCTCTCTCTCTCTCTCTCTCTCTCTCTCTCTCTCTCTCTCTCTCTCTCTCTCTCTGTGTGTGTGTGTGTGTGTTTGTGTGTGTCTGTCGCTTTCTCTCTCTCCATTTATTTTTTTCATTCTATTTCTCTTTCTATCTTTATGACAAATGTTGGCCAAGTACATTTGCATGTTTAAAGTCGGTTTTATACAGTTTGTTTGTTTTCGGCCACAAACGTCCCAGGTACCATAACCATTCACAAACGCGCCTTCACTATCTTCATTCACAAACGCGCCTTCACTATCTCCATTCACAAACGCGCCTCCACTATCTCCATTCACAAACGCGGCATCGCTCACCCTCTCTTCGAACGATAATTCGATTCAGAGTTAACGAGGCTTTTCCATCTCTCGGGTGTGATTAATGAACGTGATGGATGACACTTTTCCGCGTTGAGTTTAATTTGCTTTAATCACTAATTTCGGGGAATGATATTTTGGGCTTTGGTGAACAGGTGCTGTGCATGGCTCAGCCCTTTCTCGGTAGACTCCGACTCTCCCGCTCCTCCTTTCTCTTTCTTTTTTTCTGTTTCTTTTAGTCTCTTCTCCTCCTCTTCTTCCCATTTTTTTTTCTTTTCTATTTTTTATCTATATCCCCCTCTTCCTCCTCTTCTCTCTCATCTTTTTATAATATTTTTTGTATCATTATTATTATTATCATTATCATTATTATTATTATTGTATTGTTATATATATATATATATATATATATATATATATCACTTTCCGTCTTCGTTTTTTATGTCTTTATCCTTCATTATTTTTAACATTTGCCTTTTTCTTTTGTTTTATCCCTCTCTTTGTTACTTGTTACTTTATCTCCTTCTTCGTTTTAATTATCTTTTCTTTCTTTACGGCTCCGTTTCAATTATGTTTATCTTATATATTTTCCCCGTTTTCTTGTGTTTTTTTTTCTCCTTTTATTTATTTTCAAGTTTGAGTCAAGGCACTGTTTTACGTCGTCACGGAGAAGCATTAAGAGGAGATGAGATGGAGATCATTAATTAAGGAGAATGAACGTTAATTTATGAAAAAAGGTGGCCTGAGGAGATTTTCAAAATGTTAGAAACGTAAAGATGTTGATGAACGGAAGGATTAACAAGAGATAGGATGAAAACAGAAGGAGAGTAAATAACAGAGAAAGAATAACCAGGGAAGAGGGGACGAACTTGACGTGAAGTTACATGACTCTTTGATTTTATGTAGTTGTGAGTGATAGAAATGGAAGAAGGACGGATGGATGGACGGGAGACAGACAGACAAACATGGATAGGTAGAGAGATGGATGGTTTGATTGGTTGATTGATTATTAGAGAGAGGGAGGTAGAGAGGGAGACAGACAGACAGACAGACAGAGAGATGTAAAGGTGAAAACGAAATTGGAATAGGGGCGCGAAAGGAGAGTGGAAACGTAGTCGATAGAATGGGAAGAACGGAAATGGAGTTAAAGCCGGACGAGAGGGGAGAAGTGAAATTATTGGTCAGAGAGGGGATAGAGAGAGAAAGAGAGAAGGGGAGAAGAAGGGAGAGTGTGAGTGAGTGAGCTAGTGAGTATGTGAGTGAGTGAGAGTAAGTGAGCGAGAGAGAGAGAAAGAGAGAATGATATATTGTAGATGGAGAGGAGTTATAGAAAAAAAAGTTGAGTAAAAATGTAATAGAGACAGACAGATAGACAGACAGACAAACAAAGACAGATGAAAGGATGAGCCAAAGGTACACAAAAAAAATCGATAGCCGCAGCCGATAGATAACACGGGGCAAATCTTACCCATAGTAATTTCTTGATCTTACCAGTTTCCGGCGATATGATTAATTATGAACTTACAAGTCCACAGGTGTAAGTAAAGCAAGTGAAGCAATGCAGAGAAGAGAAAAGGGCGTAGATGCTGCTTAATTTTTAGTGGGCGTGAATGCAGTGGCTAAATGCATAGAGTGTGCTGGAAACACCTTTTATTTATTTATTTATTTATTTATTCATTTATTTATTCTTTATCGGATTTCCATTATCCAACTGTCGAGGAGGATAGAACGGTTATAATTCGTTCGCGTTAACTTTGTTGGATATTTTTTAGCGAAGGGCATTGGGGATTATGACTATAGCTATGAATATAGTTTTGAATAGGTAGCAAGATAGATATTTACGTGCATTTACATTTATGTAGATTGAAATAGGTAGGGAGAGGGTAGCCTTGATTGGTAGGTAGACAGAAAGACAGATAAATAGGTAGGTAGAAAGATATATACCAGTAGAAGGGTAGATAGGCAGTGATACAGGGGCATATATATATATATATATATATATGTGTGTGTGTGTGTGTGTGTGTGTATGTATGTTTATGTATATATATATATATATATATATATATATATATATATATATATATATATATATATATATATATATATATATATGTATATGTATGTGTGTATATATATTTATTTAGAGTAAATATTCACTAATTACGTCATATTAATTTTTGCGAAATGTGGTTTTGATGAACCGGTGATTAAGTTGAATGTTAATATATATCATGCTTGGGTTATCCGCTCACTGGAATTAGCATGTATTCAGTGGGATTTCAAGTATCTAAAGACTTTTTTTATGGCCTATCCAAGCCAATAAAGGTGAAAATTGTGTATTGAATTCAAATGTTGATTTTTAGAAAAGATTTTTGCAACAAGGTTTTTACGAAAGGAAGTTATTTGTGTGTCGAAGAATAGATCATATATTTAAATAAATATTTGTATATTTGTGTACGTTTGTGTGCGTGTATGTGCGTACGTTTGTATGTGTGCGTGCGTGCGTGTGGGCATGTGTGTGGGCACGCATGCATATGTGATGTTGAAAGAGAAAAAGAAAAACAGTTCATTAAATCTGTGAGCTGAGAAAGCTCGTTAATATTTCGTGTAAATCGACGGCGGAGGAAAAATGAACGAAGGCGTCTGTGTCTCCAGCCTTTGACGCCTTCAGGGGAGGTGTCCGGAGGTCGACCTTGCTGGGAGGCCGTCCTTGATCGCAGGCCTTGATTGGGTTGATTTGTCATATTGCTTGATTTTGGTAGTTTATGTTGTTTTGTGTTTCTTTGTTTGTGTGACTTTTTTGTTGTTTTTATCAATTAATGCTTTAGTGAAGGAGGTCGTTTTGTATATCACTTCTTATGTTAGCCTGAGATTAATCGCATTTTTCTTTTTCCTTTTTCAGAACCGTGTAAAAGCCACAAGAATTCATAAGAAGCAGAAGCAGTGAAGTCACGTGACTCGCCGTTCAAGCCAACGATCTTAGACCTGAAAGGAGAAAGGATCAATCTCTTACCCGTCGATCTCAGTTGATAAATAAGTAGATGAATAAATAAATAATCAAATAGATAAATAAAGAGACAAATCGACAAGTAAATACACCAGCGTGAGTGCCGAGGCCTACCCCCAATCCACCGGTTTTTTCCCTCCGCACCTTCAGAAGGCGACCCTCACACCCTGGAGGCGCCGAGATGGCCAGCGGAGGCAGCCCCGTGAGGCGCCCTGAGGCCCGGGACGCCCCTCGCTGTCCTCTCACGCCCCGCGAAAGGAAGTGACGCGGAGGAACATGGAGGAGAAGCGGGGTGTTGTCGGGAGGTAGAATCGGAGGGACAGTTTTTTTCTCGTATAACGTCTGAGGAAGAGGAGGAGGTGACACTCACACTCTCTCTCTCTCTCACCCTCTCTCTGTGTCTCTGTCTCTTTAGACGAGTTGTGAGTTCGGAGTCAGCGGCCAGCGAGCGACGAGTTGTGTTAATTTAAAGAGGTTGGATCCGGGCGCTCGTCGTTAAAAGGCCGCGCAAACATCGCACGCAAAGTGAAATCTCACGAGCAACTCTTTTTTTTTTTTTTTGCTCGTTGCCGTTGGAAGTAATCCCAGTCGTAATTGTACAGTGACGTTAATTTATGTGAATGGATGTTATCTAATAATAAGTAATTAATAATAGTAATAGTAAGTAAATTAAGTGGAAAGAAGCAAATCGATACGTGTGGTCGTGGCTAAAGTCGTTCTACCGGCGATGGCTCCCTTCTGACGCGTCGTCGCGCCTTCCGCCGAGGACGACCGCCGCGAGTGTGCGAAGGCAGCCCGAGAGCGACGACTCCGTGCCCGCTCGCCTGTCTCAATGATCACCATGGACGACTACCACGACCAGAGGTTCATCCGGGCTCTCATGGTCCCACCCGAGAGCCGGACCCTGCAG